TGGATAAGAGCCATCTGATCCACAATCTGTCCTATCATCTGGATGTTCATGGTTGCCATTTCAGTTTGTAATTATTCCAACTGATCATCCCTGCTATCCTCAGGATTCTTCTTGGTCATGCTCTCAATGAGGAGTGCTTTCACTTCTTCTTGCCCCTTGGATAGGTTCAGGAATAATTCTTAAAGTTGAGCAAATTGGGCCTAAAGATCTATGACAGTCTGTTCTAGATCCATCTTTACTGAAATAAACAGTAAGCAGATGAGAAACCTGTGTGGGGAAAACCTGTCATGATATGATGCATGGTATGTGGATGCAATGTTTTTAGGAATCTCACGGGGTAAACACAAGAAGATGTCAGAAGCTAAACTTTGACCGCAACCTTGATTGAAGAACTTTGTATCGTTGAATATCCTTCTATGAGAATAGAGCTCACCATGTCGAGTGGATCATAGCCTTGACTCAAGTTATCGTTCTTTGGTCTTTGATAGCATTTGGTTAGAGGGGAATAAATCCTCTTGCCCCTTGATAGACGTCCGATTCATCATGACCCTGCATTGCAGGCCCTTTGAGATCCTTGAAATTGTCATTGGAAATGATATGGTATGATGTCATGATGTTATGTACAAGTAAACATATACACACAAAGCAAACAAGTCATTATGTATAAATAATCATATACACACAAAGCAGACAAGTCCTTATGTTTAGGCTTGCATGGAGTCATAAGTTAGTACCCTCTTGAAGCTTAGTTGGTTCAACCTGTCCTAGAAAGTAACCGGGTTCTAGAGGATCTCAATATCATTGATCTTTCTTCATCGGAAATTGTTTCAGCGCAAGCCTCTTTACTGGAGACCGAAATATCCCGAAAGTCCGATCTCAATGAGCATAGCATCGATTATTAACCAACTTAGGACTGCACCAAAGCCAGCTATCTTACTACTTCCTAATGGCCGAGTTGTTCAATTTAAAGATTCTAAGGTCAGTTAGTGCTTTATGACACCACACAGCAGCCCCGTATTCTCCTTGACTACACTCAAGGGCTACCGCTACCAACAAATGTGTCACATTAACGTAGCCATCACTTCAACCATGTCGGTATACCCCGTACAGTTTTCACAATCTATTGCTACTCACCTAATGGTATTCTCCGATCCAGGTAGAGGATCAAAACAAGCCCAAACAAAGACCCAAAATGTAAAGTAAACAAATCACATAATAAAAGCAATTAAATGTGATCTAACTCTAAGGTAACCCCACCTCCTTTTAAGTTATCCCCAGCAGAGTCGCCAGTTCTATAATACAGTAGGAGAACTGACTTGGGTGTTTTGCGGTTATCACAATTGTTGCGGATAGCAAGAGTCGCCACCGACTTTTCTTTTATCCAATAAAGGAAAGGGTGAAAAGAATAGGAAATACCTTTGATATATTTTCTTGAGTTCGGGGGGTAGGTTATAAAAAGGGAAAGTGTTAGCACCCTTTTCATCCATAGTTATCTATGGGCTCTTAGTTGCTTTCTAGATCACTTGAAAGTGCTTTATTTGAAAATGTATTTTGTAATGGGTGCAAGTTTGAAAATATTTTGAAAACGCCTTTGTTTTGACAAACTCTGTAATGATTCTCGTCTCTATAAGAATGTATACGAAGTATGGGTTTTGAAAATAGTTCAAAGAGATGTTTGTTTTTGAAGATGTTTTGAAAGTGTAAGTGTGAAAATGGTTTTAGTTTGTGAGCAAGCAACTACGAGTATCCTACCTACTCAAAAGGTCTTTGTTCTTTTCCTCCTCCTTTAGATGTTGCTATCTTACCATTGATTTGGTAAGAAGCCCCATCAATGGATGTGAAGGGACAGGCGCGGGTCAATCGTACAGTCATAAAAGGCAACTTGTGAGACGCTTTAGCAATTTTCGTAAGGGACTAGATCGATTTACCGAAGGCAACTTCGAGGGACATCGAGGGACTACGATCTTTTTTATCGAAGGGTCTTTGCTAAAGTGTCTCATATTCGAGGGATATGACTGTATTTTTTCGAAGGCAACGAGCGAGGTTACCCTAAAGGTGCACGTGTGAAAAGTGTGTTTGATTCAAGTTAATTTAACTTTGATTAGGGTTATTTAGCGGTTGATTTTAATCTTTCCATACACGCCTAATTACTATACAGTATAAGGAAAAACAGTAAATTGCAGAAATTAAAGTTCTACGCTATTACAAAGCTTTCGGGAATGGGGAGTACAAATTTACAAATAGGGATGGGTCAATGTGATTAAAAGTCTAAATAGGCAATCAATACAACCAGATCGAATCGAATAATTAGTTAAAACTACAACAATCTATGAAATAATTAATTGGCAAAATAATTGAAATAATATTTTTGGTATTTTTGTTTATGAGAGAATTTGAAGAGAAAATAAAATCTATTCTAAAAAATAAAATAATTGACTAAAAGAAATTAAATTATATTTAAAAGAATGTTAACTAAAAAATGTTATTCAATAAAATTAATCACAAAGTTCTAAACTAAATTAATTAAGGAAATTAACTAATTTTGAAATTATATACCTATTTTAATTGGAGTTTTTTAAAAAACAAAATAAAATAAAACTAAACTAAACTATATATCTACTTTGTTAAAAAAAATCTAAGGTTATCAAATTAATTTAAATTAAATAAATAATAAAATAAAAAAAGTTAATAAATTAATTTAAATGAAATAATAAGAAAATCGTTGTGTTAAGTAGAAAATAAGGTGTAATAATATAGATTTCGTTGGACTGAGCCCGTATGTTGATCCATTAAGCCAATGATTAGATTTTTTTTAATTTAATCCTAAATATCCTCTCTAAGGCCTTAATTGTTTTTATAATCACTAAACACATGGGTTAAACGATTTTGGTTAGTATGTCCAAACATGGCAAACGTTAAAATGATGAAAAGGGAAATTAGGGTTCAAGAAAAAATTGTAACCTTTCAGCTATTCCAAACAGATCCCGATAACTTCTTTTAAAGGATCACGGCGGAAATCTTCTGACTTCCTCACTTCTTCTTCCGATCCAAATGATGCTACCACCTATAACAAAAAAAACGTGATCCTTATCTTTTTCTTCGAAGATTCTCTTCTCACATATCCGTCTCCGTTTCTTTTTTTGATCCCTTTCTGTTCGTCCTCAACCTTCCGGCTCAATTTTGGTGGTTTGCGGTATGTAGCAATTACAGTTGAACTATTGATGATTGAAACATGATGTTACAGACCACATGTTGATGAAGATGAGGTGTGAAATTCTTATGAATGAAGCAGAGACGCAGAGAGTTAACTTCAAAAGAATTTGGTGAGTTCTTTTGATATTTATGTTATGAATCTTCTGAGTTCTATGAATCATAATTCTGAGTTTTTCTTTGAAGGGAGTTAATACAGAACTTTTGAAATCTGCAGGGTGAGGGATATTAAAAATTATGCAGAACTTTTGCGATTTTTTTTTAATTTCTCGTATGTGCTTTTGAAAGGGTTATGGTGTGGAGGCAAGTTGCTATTGATTGTCTCTTATGTCGTGATATTTTGTGGTTTTCTATGAGTTTACAGGCTGGGATTTATGTGTGAGGCTTGGCGGGAGGTTGGTGATGAAATAGCAGGTGGTGGGTGATTGTAAAGATGATTAGAAGATTGAAGGTGGTTGGTTATGTTACAAGCATTGCGTGTGAGTTTTTTTCTGGTTTACGTTGGCTGCCATAGATTCTTGCCCTAAGTTTTTTTTTTGTTCTGTTTGATGGTGTTTTATGAATGAGAGGAAAAAGGTTCAGTGTGTATTCTAGGTTGTTTTGATGCAGAGGATGGAAGAATGAATTTGTCTTGAAGGGTTGGAGGTGAGGGAATATGGTTGAGGGCTGCTGCCTTTTTTTCTTTTGAATTTTCTTGGACCAAGATCGTTGAAAAACATAGGCTAGGTGTGTATATCTCCCTTCTTTTTTACTGTCTTCTATTTTTTATAGTAGAATGAGGGGTTGAATTGGGAGGGAATTTTTGGATCAAAAACTAGTTTTATGTTTACTGACTTATTGCTTTTGATAGCAGGTTTTTGCTAATGCTATTTTTTGAAATCTTTGGCTGCTTAGTGCAGGTTAGTGGCAGGGTTTTGGAGGTATTGGTTTGTGGGGCTGTTTTTGCAGTTGGAGCATATTTTTAGCCTGTTATGGGCAACAATGCAGGACTGTTATTTGGCTTACTATGCAGCAAGTTAGCAAATTATTTTGACAGTTTTATGGTCTAGTATAGGGGCTGGTTTGGCACAGGCTTCGACTGCAGGTCTAGGGATAATTTTTGGATTAGGTGATACCTTTTCAAACTTGTCTCTTTTCCTCTTTATCGTTCCAGGATGCAAAGTCATTTTGCTATTTTACACAATTTTCTGAAGGGTTTGCATTTTTATGGAATATGATGACACATGAGGTTTTTGGGCGATTGCTATCTGGCATTGTTTGTGAATTACTGCTATCTTACATGTGCTGCCATTTGTTTTTGCTTGTTGTGCTGCTGCGCTCTTTTGTCGCAGCCTGTTTTAATGCTGCTGTTTTGCTAGTTTTGTTGCTTTAAGTTATTTTGTTGTACTGTTTTGTTTTGCTTGCTATTTTGTTTTGTTGTTTTGGCAGCTTTGACTTGCAACTGCTTTTGTGTATTTGCTTTCTTGTTTGCCTAGCTGTTGTGCTTGTCAATTGGGACTGTTTTGATGCTGCTTTTGCAATGAAATTGTTCCAAATTTCTTTTCCCTTTTTGTGAACAAAAACATAGACTTTTGTGATTTGAAAAATAGGAGAAGATAGCCTATGATTGAAAACCCCTTTTGAATTTCTGATTCCAAATGCAAACCCTAATAATGAAATGCAAATTTCTTTTAACAATTAATTCTTGTTTGGATTTTTTCACATGTTGACGTTTGCTAACTTTTTCCTTTTTCTTATTTCATGAACATGAGGATTGGACGACCAAAGCGAGGTTGAAAGATGAAGAAAAGTCACGGCGAGAAAGGAGGACGAGTTACTCGAAGACGAAGTAAAGAGACTTGAAAAAGAAGAATCATTTCTTTATTTTGTAAACAAAACAATTGTAGTTCGTATTTCGCATTGTAATCCCTTTTGTAAATTGTCCCAAAATTGTAACTTGAACACAAAACTTGAATGAATTTTATGAATGATGAATTTGTTGTATGGAAATCAAACAATTCTTGAATCTTGATTGAAAATGGAAATTTCCACTTGAATTTGGAAAAGAATTGCTTGATACTAGAATGTATATGTTGAATGATGAATGAACAATAATGCAAGCCTTAAGAGTTCAATTTTGCATTTGTATTAGAGATCCAAATAAACTTCATGAATTGATCTTCAAAATTGAACAAATTTGCATCATGATAAATTAGTTCTTTTTATATCTTGAATTCAAAAGCAAATTCATTATGAATGAATTGCGCCTCGCACACTTGAACTGTTTGGAAATCAAAAAAAGGAATTATTCGAATTGTTTCTCAAATCTTCTTTAAAATCCACATCGTCAATTCGCGGTAACTTGCAATACGAGCCAATAATACAAATCGTTCCTTTAAGTGATTTAATCAACAATCCACCTTAACCCAGTAATCGCTAATGTTCACTTGCAAATGATTTGAGGTAAGCGACAAGCAATCAATGAATCTTTGAACTAGAACTCTAGTTTCATGAAATACCTCAACAAAAGAATCAAACGTCCTTTGAGAAACGTTTGTGACCTAAACTAAACCAAGAATAATTTGACCTTGATCTTTGAAGTAATCTCATAGGTAACGCTATTCAGGATACTTCGCAAAAAGAATCGCCTCTTGACATTGAGAATTGAAGAAGTTATGAACCCTAGAAATTGGACAAGAGTTTCTTGTAATTAGGTCAAATTTACAAAAATGACCTCTAAAGTATTCGAATTTTCTAATGATCTTCCACACGCAATCAACTCTTGACTTGTAAAGAGGAGTTGGAGGTGACATCAAGGAGAGTCATACGCAAAAAGAACCGCTCAAAAATATCGAATAATGAAGAAGTTACAATCATTTGAACTTGATCTCGCAAAGGTCAATTTTTGGGTCAATGCAGTCATTTTCAGTCATCTGAACCATCGACTGGGCAAAATTGCAATGAGAAGTTTGAAACTTGGCACAAGCATACTTGAGAATACATGAAGAACCACATAGACTTTTTAAAACCTTTGAAACTTAACTTTGCTTGAGAAATACCGAACCCTAGTTGCTGACTTAATGCCTAGGAGGAGAATCTGTCTGATCGAACCCTAAGCCATTTTGAGTATTTAAGAAATTTTAGGACAACATCTTGGATGAAAAATGGGAGGAAAAATTTTAGGGTACAACCGTTGCCATACACCTTTCACTGCCAGACCATGCTTCGAATGTACAAACAACATGGCCGAGTATGAAGCGTGCATCTTGGGTCTAAATGTTGACATTGACCTAAAAATCAAATTCTTAAGCGTATACGGAGATTCAGCATTAGTAATCAGTCAAGTTAAAGGAGAGTGAGATACCAAAAATCCAAATTTGATCCCTTACAAAGAGCTTGTGCTAACCCTGATCCCCTACTTTGAAGAGGTCACCTTTGAGCATATCCCGAGGGAAGAAAATCAGTTGGCAGATGCTTTAGAAACTATGTCATCTATGTTCAAGGTCAATTGGGACAGTGAGGCTCCCAAAATTACTATAAAAAAATTTGATAAACCTGCACACTATTGTGAGATTGACACTGATGAGGAGAAGCCTTGATACTATAAAGTAAAGAAATATCTTGAAGCAAAAGAGTATCCTGAAGGAGCTTCAGTCAATGATAAGAAATTCATGCGAAGGTTCTCAGCCAAATTCTTCTTAAGCAATGGGATCCTATACAAGCGCAACCATGATTCTACTCTGCTTCGTTGTGTGGACAAGAAGGAAGCAGAAAAGATAATGGAAGACATGCATGAAGGTATCTTCGAAACTCACTCTAGCAGGAACACTACGGCCAAGAAGATTCTAATAGCTGGATACTATTGGTCGACTATGGAAACTGATTGCCACCACCATTCGAGGACTTGCCATAAGTGTCAGATCTATGCCGACAAGGTTCATGTGCCTCCAATACCCTTGAACATCATGACTGCTCCATGGCTATTTGCAATGTGGGGCATTGACATGATTAGAGAGATCAAGCCCACTGCCTCTAATGGACATTGTTTTATCATTATTGCTATTGACTACTTCACTAAATGGGTCGAAGCTGCTTCATTTGCCTCGGTCACTAAGAATGTTATAGCCTGGTTTATCAAACATAACCTCATATTCCGATACGGCATCCCTGAAAGGATCATCACCGAAAACGGAACCAACCTCAACAATGCTATAATCACTAAACTCTGTAAGCAGTTCAAAATCAAGCATCACAACTCTTCTCCTTACAGACCTAAGATGAATGGTGCAGTGGAAGCTGCCAATAAAAACATAAAGAAGATTGTGCAAAAGATGGTGGCGACCTACAAATATTGGCATGAGATGCTACCATTTGTTCTTTATGGCTACTGTACTTCAGCTCGAACGTCAACTGGGGAAACCCCTTTCTCTTTAGTCTATGGCATGTAAGTTGTCTCGCCTGTTGAAGTGCAGATTCCTTCTCTGAGGATTATGAAAGAAGCGGGCTTAGGCGAAGATGAATGGATTCAGACAAGATTGGATCAATTGAATTTGATTGGTGAAAAGAGATTTGCTACTTTTATCATGGTCAAATGTATCAAAAGCGTATGATCAAGGCATTCAACAAAAAGATCAAACCTCATGTATACCAGGCTGGTGACTTGGTAATAAAGCGCATTATTCTACCACAAGGTGATCCCATGGGAAAATGGACACCCACGTACGAGGGGCCGTTTGTTGTCAAGAAAGTATTCTCTGGTGGTGCTATGATGCTAACCACTATGGACGATGAATATTTCCCACACCCTGTGAACGCAGACATAGTCAAAAATACTACACATAAAGAATGACCCGCTAGGTTGACATACCTAGGAAAAATAAGGGCATCCCGGCGAACCAAAAGGGTCCGGTACAAAATTAGGGATATATACAAAAGATTATACACTCGGTAAGTCGAAAACCTGAAAGGGCGACTTGGGCAAAAATGGGTATCCTGGTGGACTGAAAACCCGAAAGGGCGGTCTAGGCAAAAGTTAAGAATAAAAAGCATACGACTATGTCTTGTTGGATCACTACAGTCAACTTTATCACCAAAATCAAAAGTTCAAACGATACAAGATCAATTGAATCAACTTCTTTCGACGACAAGGGATGATGTTCGAAGACATATGGGCAATATCAGAGTTGAAACCCAGTGATATCACTTCCATATGACTATACAATTTTTGTTTTCACTTTGTATTCTTTTTATTTTTTGACGACTTCCTCTTACTAGGATTTCTGTCTCCCTGTACAAAAACACCTGTCTTCAGGCAAATTATCAATACAAATATACTTTGAAGTGCAAACTTTTTGTTTTTTCAGTTTTGAGTGCAAAAATGTCCAATGACTAAAATTGAATAAACATATGCATATGAACATGATTAACTTTTAACAAATGTACGCACAAGAACAATAATAAGCATTTACTAAAGGATTTAGGATATCCCTAGAGTTACTTCAATAAAATTATCCCCATAAAGTAAATTCATACATTCTCCAGCCAGAGTGCCAATCAGTATATCTCCTAGAAATTCTCTTCTGAGTTTAGTTTTCCAAAGCCGAGAAAGAAACCCTGCAAAAATTCTTCCTTAGATGAATACATTTCCCCAGTAAAGTCTTCAGAATACCTTCCTCGACAGGTTTTATTTCCTAAACGGACTACAATCTCCCCAGCTTGAGTTTACTTCTCAACAAACAACACCCCCTGTCCCCAACAGAATTGATACTATCACCAAAAAGTTGTTGTGAAGCCTGGAACCCGACCAGATACCAGTTAACTTCATCTTCCCTAGACGATCAGAAGTCTTATCATCTCTTTTATCCCGAGTAAGGGCATATGAGAATTAAATTCCCCAGTAGAGCGATAACCAAGGTTCCTAAACTCTACTCCCTAAACATAAATTAACACTCCCTGTAGAGTTTCCTCAAACAGCAAACAAGAATTTTCAGCGGAAACATTCTAAACAAGGTTAAAGAGATACATACTCTTCATCTCCAACAGTAGCCCGGGATTTAGTTTCCCAAAAAACTCCCCAGCATTTGTCAAGAATTTATTTTCCCAGACAAAGATACACTTCAAATAACATTTCAGATTCATACATCATGACACATGCATACAAAATGCATATAACACAGTCTCATTTATTTTGAGAACATCATTATGCAATGCATGAATCATGACATTGCATTACAACTAATGCTTTACCTTTTCAGGAAAGATCAGTCACTAGATGAATATCATCAGAGACAAACATTTTATCTGCTGGTTTATTTTAAATCGACCAATGATTTATCTTGATTCCATTCCAATAGACATTTTCTCTAGTTCAGTTAAATCGCTCCGAAGATTTATACTGATTCATTATCCGGTAAAAGATTATTCAAGACCTCTGCTGGTTCAGTTTAAATCGACCAATGATTTATCCTGATTTCATTCTGGTAGACACTTTCTATGGTTCAGTTAAATCTCTCCGAAGATTTATATTGATTCATTATCCAGTTAAAGATTATTCAAGACCTCTACTGGTTCAGTTTAATCGACCAATGATTTATCCTGATTTTGTTCTGGTAGACACTTTCTCTGGTTCAGTTAAATCGCTCTGAAGATTTATATTGATTCGTTATCCATTTAAAGATTATATCAAGACCTTTGCTGGTTCAGTTTAAATCGACCAATGATTTTATCCTGATTCTATTCTGGTAGACATTTTCTCTGGTTCAGTTAAATCGCTCCAAATATTTATACCGATTCATTATCTAGTTAAAGATTATTCAAGACCTTTGCTGGTTCAATTTAAATCGATCAATGATTTATCCTGATTCCATTCTGGTAGACACTTTCTCTGGTTCAGTTAAATCGCTCTGAAGATTTATATTGATTCGTTATCCAGTTGAAGATTACTTAAGACCTCTACTCGGTTCAGTATAAATCGACCAAAGATTTATTCTGATACTTCTTCCAATCCTTACCAGCAATCACTTTGGATGGAATATATAAGCCCGTCTTCAACAACATTCCACCACTCTCCAAATGGCATCTTTAATCCCATTCTAGACACAATCAACCAACAACATTA